CTTGGAGAGCAGTATATTGATCATAGACAATTTATGAATTAAACATTAAAATTTTATATGCGATTTTTATTTCTATAAAATCTTCTATGTTTGTACATAGGGCGCACTATACATTTCCGGAACTGGCCACTTACATAAACAATAAAACATAAAAAGTAATAACAACATTTGAAAATAGAACTCTTTGGCTGTAGAATACAATTTAGTTCATCTGACTGTCACTTGTTTTTACATTGTGGCGTCATTTTAGAAATTGGTTGTCTACATCACCATGGATTTAACTCGTGAAAATTTTCGTAGCATGATTTTCTACGAGTTTATGTGTAATTTATCGTCTTCAAACTGCTTTTGGCGATGAAGCAACATGCAAGACGACTGTTTATAGCTGGTTTGCAGAATTCAATCGCGGTCGTGTGAATCTCAGTGACGAATTTCGTGATGGTCGCCCGTCCATCGCTGTGAAAAACATCGATGACAGCAGCGCCGTATGATCAAAACAGACAGGCATGTGACATACCATTAGATTCGGGCATCTTTAGGCATAGTCATGAGTCAAATACAATCAATAATATTACACAAACATTTGGGTGTGAAAAAGCTGTGCTTTCGGTGGATCCCACACAATTTGACAGGCTCAAGAAACGAACCGCGACACTTGGTGCAATGCCATGCTTACCAGAATCAACGAAGGGGCGTCAAATTTGGTGTGGAACATAGTAACAGGTGACAAAACATGGATTTATAGTTACGATCCCAAAATAAAACAGCAACCAACCAAAGTGGCGCGCGTGCAAAGTGGCTCTAAGCGGATGATTGCTTCTTTTTTAAATAGAACAACACGGACAGGTGGCTACTGTTGCTTTGGAGAATCGTTGTACCGTGAATAATGATTGGTACACGACTATTTGTTTGCCGCAAGTTATTGACAAACTCCGAAAAAATAACCGTAAACGCTGTGTCATCGTGCACCACGATAATGTGAGTTCTCACACGGTCACACAGACAAATGAATTTTTGAAGGTGAACAACAAGGCACCTTGTGACTTTTATTTATTTGCAAAAATTAAGAATCAGTTACGCGGTCAACGATTTTCATCACCTGAAGAGGCTGTCGAAAAGTATTGGTTCATTCGTATGAAAAAGTACATTAACGCTAACGGAGAATATTTTGAGAAACAATAAATTCATTTCTGACCATTTATAACACTTTTTCTTATTCATTCCAGAAACTTATAATGCGCCTCACGTACTAGGGATTAGTGGAACAGGTGTAAGTGTTAGCTATTGGCGAGCGTGGAACCTTTCTCCCAGCGCGGAAGTAATAACTGTGGGGTACTTTTATACATTAGTGAGTGGGACAGTTAGGTACGTATCAAAGTGCTCCAATTACTTATTTGTTAAAATGTAAAACTAAAAAAAACTAGTGACATTTTGCGTTATAGTCAGCTCTTCCTCCTGTATTTCTACTTCCAAGACTACATTACAAAGAACACTTTTCAAATGGTGCTCTAGAAAGAAGTCTTGATCTAGCAAGTTCTGAGGCACATTTAGCGTCATACTATGAATATGAATTCATATTATGATCACCTAGTGCTGATAATACGTGGCAACCAGGAATGCTAGACTACGTTGATTCCAACATCTAAGTGCCCTAAGCGATGTATCAAAGTACCCTACAGGTGGGACAGAATTGGACAATTCTCATTTTTTGTTAAAATCAAAATTTTTAAATTATTTTATAAGTTAAAAAAGTATTGGTAGTTTTCTCATTAGCAAGGCTGCTTGTTGCCATCATTTAGTCATGTGCGCCCTTATTAATTATGGTAAAATAGGTATATTAAGTATTTAGTACTTATTAAATTTTTTCCGAATAGTTATTGTAGACTTCCATTCTTAACATTGTAACGTTGCATTAACGCTTAGAGCATATAGGACGGGAGGCGCTAGTAGCGTTATTTCTCGAACAAAACTTTCTGCCACTTTTTGTGGTAGTACAAGCAAACAGGTGCACTCAAATGCAAAATTGATTGTGTCACTATGGTCTCACTCAACCTAAAGTCTACAACACTCATTGACCTACCAACAAATGGACGTCGGGTCTAATACAAAAACCACGAAAAAAATATCCGAACTTAACCTATACAAACGTAGTGACATGTAACGAAATATAAAAAAACTAAAACATTTGATTTAAATTGTAACGTCATTGCAGTACTGCCTAATTTTGTTTGCAACAATTTAAGGGTCCAAAAACTATATTTAGCTTCGACTGAAAATTACTTGAACACAAGAGTAATGGAGCCTTTATCGTAAATATTAATTCATTTTTATATATGTATTTTATTATGTCGAATTTTTTATAAAGAGTTGGGCAGATACATACGTACAAATATTACTACAAATGTGAAAACAAGCGTGTACTAAGAGAAATGTACCGATATTCCAACTAAACGTAAACTCAAATATCCGTAATTCCGAAAACCGATTTATAAAAAAAACCGTTACGCTTTCGAGTAATTTTAATGCTTTTCACAAAGACAAAGTTAGCTTTTATTTTGTAATCTTCCTAAAAAAATACATTTGACGTTATGAAAATTCGAGCTAACGTTATTTCGGGCAAATGTATTTTCTGACTTCTGATAGGTAATCCCAAGCCGTAAAACGAGTACAACTATATTTTGTTAGTTATTGCTAATAAATGATATCAGATTCGCGGTAAAAAGTGTCCGCACCTATATGGCGTTAAAATCGCATACAGGGCGTCAATCGCGCAACAGTCTTCGTTTGTTCGACTGACAGCGCGGTTGTCAATCATGCAGTACTATATAATAATAACCTGTAAAAATTACCGCAGTAAAGTGTAAAAACAGGATTTTGTATAATATTTTCATTAAACAACTAAATTGTGTTATCATAGTAATCATTTAAAAGAGTTATTTTGTACAGTTGTACTTAATTACAAAAACAATTAATATTAATTACAAAAACAAACAAAATAATCAAATAGCTAACTGGCCTTTTTCTACACATTGCACGCTCATAAGGTGGAAAGAGACCCATTACGTTAATTTCAAGAAGCTTATATAAACACTCTTAGTCATTTTCAATTGTTCGAACCATAAGCGATTGAAATATTTGGAACAAAGAAACTATAGAGTCATGTTGATTTAATCTTATTTTTAAAGTGACTTTTTATTAAACATTAGCTATACGTAACAAAATATTGTTGTACTCGTTTTACAACTTGGGGATTACCTATCAGAAGTCAGAAAATCATTTGCCCGTAATAACGTTAGGTCGAATTTTATAATGTCATATGTATGTTTTTAGGAATATTACAAAACAAAAGCTAATTTTGGCTTTGTGAGAAGCATCAAAATTACTTGAAAGCGTAACGGTTTTATTATAAATCGGTTTTCGGAATTACGGATATTTGAGTTTACGTTTAGTTGGAATATCGGTACATTCCTTATAGTACACGCTTATTTTCACATTTGTAGTACTTGTATGTATGTATCTGCCCAACTCCTTATTATTTTTTGAAGTGAATTTGTACAAAATTCGACATAATAATATACTTAAAAATTAATTGATATTTACAATAAAGGCTGCTCCATTACTCTTGTGTTCAAATAATTTTCAGTCGAAGCTAAATATGGTGCATTTTTTTAAGCTTCCTTTAGAAGCTGAATATAGTGTTTTTGGGCCCTTTCAATTGTTGCAAGCTAAATTAGGCAGTACTGCAATGACGTTACAATTTAAGTTAAATGTTTTAGTTTTTTTTATATTTCGTTACATGTCACTACGTTAGTATAGGTTCACATCGGACATTTTTTCGTGGTTTTTGTATTAGACCCGACCTCCATTTGTTGGTAGGTTAATGGTTCTAAACCTAAATATTTCAATCGCTTGTGGTTCGAAAATTGAAATTGACGAACGGGTCTCTTTCTGTCTTTTGCGCATGTCTTGTGTAGGATAAGGACAGTTAGCTATTTGGTTATTTTTAATGCTTTTGTAAATTATGTGTTGTATGTATGTACTCGTATATGTACTTTTTATTTTTATTTTTTTTTCTTACAGTACGGCATGATTTGTGATGATTTATATTAAACAGTTACAATTTATTTTCTATATTTATAATTTATTACATTATTATTTATTATTCAATACAACGGATAAATCAATTTGAATAAACTTCGTTACATAATATGTCGATAAAAATAGAAGCTAAAAGAGCGCGTCGCTTCTCTATAACGAAAAAACGGCGTCCATGAAGTACTGTATTTTTTATATTTATTTGCCTGTTAGTAAATAGGGAACTTCATAGGCATGCTTATGATAAATGTTCGAATATTTTCAAATATTTTTTATGTAATCGATAAATTGAATCAATGTGATCATTGTGAAAAACAGTCGTAAAACAGGAAATTAACAATTAATGTCAAAAATAGGCATGTATATATATTCCACACTTGGCTAGATTGGATGCAGCAGCGATTTTTTTTGCAAGTTTGTAAAGCGCAAGACGACATGTTTCGTGGAGTACTTGATGCGGTGAATTCGATAACGGAAATGAAAAAACATCGATTTGAAAGTAGCGTTTATTGTGCGATAGTTGTTTTGTACTTGTACCTTGTCAGAGGGGATTGCCTATCGATGACTCCTCCAGTCCTATATGCTTTAAGCACAGACGTATATCTAGATATGTCCGTGGCTCTAAGCATTAACGGGTAGGTGAAAAAAAAAATGAAAACAACAATTTGCAAGTATTTTTTTTTTAATTTACTGTTCATTCAATCTCTTACTATGAGGTAAGTGCTTACCTGCTTAGCCACAGAACTATATTACAAAAGTACTCACTTGTCTTATTGTAAGTTAAATGACATTAATACCTCACAATATTTGATATATTATAATACTATTATCATATTAACATTAACAACAGAAAAATCTAAAATGTCTATTCATATTCATTCATTATTGTGAACAGATGTCTTTAAACATAGGTATAATATAATATTTGTATAGCGACCGCAGTGCGATGCCAAAAATTAATGTACAGATGGCAGCACATCAAGCTACACAGTGACGGACCCTGTTCCGTTGCCTTGGGGGCAATATCTAAGTTAAAGTGTATAGATTGATATGCTGTTGACTGTACATGACATGTAAGTAAATACTTGATTTATTTATGCAAATAAAAATATGCAATATGTTAATTTGGTGATAATGTATAGGTACTTTGCAGGTACTCCCCTTTTGGTGTTCTGTGCATGGCCCTGTAAAACGCCAAGTAGCGTTACTGATTGCTGTCAGAAGACAAATTTACCGGTCCTATTGCTCATAAATATCGAGGTGAATTACATTATCGGTCCTGTGATGTAATATAACGGTGTAAATATGCCGAAAAAATATTAAGAACTTCAGTGAAAGTGAAGTACTAAATTTAACTTGTGTATTTTCATCATGATGCATAAAATTTATCATAGGTAAATATAATTACCCATAAATAAACGACTTTTAAGTGTGTATTTCCCTTAATATTACCTATTTATTATTATAAAAAAGGACGGGGTAAATTTTCCGAGTGGTAAAATATTGGCCAAAAGAACTATAGCTATATAGAAGAGTCGCGCATTGGTGACATTTACAGCGTAATCTGTAGTATGACATCAAAGCAGAAGACTTTTAAATTGACCATAGACCGAAATATTCTTATTAATGAAAAATATAATTTAAATAGAATTTTATTTTTTCCATCCTCTAAGAATAGAACACAAACATCGATTAAATAGACATAACCAATAGTTGACCAATTTAAATATGTGACAATACCTTTGTAATAAAATTTTCAATACAATATTAGGTATAAATAACAAATATAACAACTTGAATACTTTATTAATTCGGTACCTAGATATTAATTTACTGCTACGGCGATTGGCGACGAACGCGAAATGAATAGATTTCTAATTATATAAGTATTTGATGAGACATTAATTTATATAGGAACTTCATTTATATTTAATTAACTATCCACCTGAAAAAATAGGTCATTCTTAAGGCACTCCTGTAGTGGCACTTATAACGCAAATGCGCGCATCGATAACAACAATAAGTATATGATAATTGAATATAGGTACCTATAAATTCATTCGTGTGCGATGATATCATTATTTTGAACCAGGGCATTAATTACTTAAAACAATATTGAGTCTTATTTATGTACCAGTAAGTAACGTTTACACTTCAAAAGGGACATATTTCCTGTTACGCGGAAATCTGTTATCACAATTTGATGACATTCGGTATGTACTTTTAATATAATGAACGGACACACAAATACATATTACATATTCTAGGCGAAACATTAAATGCATTACATACGTATCTGCTGCGACAAAAAGCAGATAACAATGTTAATCGTACCTACAGTTACATTCAAAACAGATATTTGTACATAGTAACTACTCATTGTTTAAGCATTTGTTCATTACAAGGAGCTAATTTTCACACCGACAACTGGTTGCATTCAATTTCCACAAGCTTTCTGTATTCTGTGCTGTGCAAGAAATCCCACGACACAAAAACGATAAATCCAAAAATCGTGTCACACATCCTCATACTTTCGACCTCAAATACAACCTTATTTACGTATCCACCACGTAAATACAACTACACGTGTATGTAACAACACATAACTGAATTCGGAATGCAATCGCAATAAGTATCGTAAATTATACAAAGAGAAACATGTTTTATGCAGTAAATTCGATTTATTTGATTCGAGGCTATTTTTACAACGACATACCTACCGCACGCGCGTTTCTTTGAAACGAGCCTAACTGTGTTTGTTAAGTTATTAATTCGATGTAATTAATTGTATTCAACTTTATTTTATTTTAACATTAATTTGGCCGACTTTAGGTACTATTTTTACTTTACAAAGAGATGCCAATTACTTCTAGTACCATAGTTGTTGCCGACTTTTAGCATATTTAAATTTGGTCCCTCTTACTCGGGCAACTTTCCTCTCAATATCCATTTAGCGCAATAGCATTTCTGCGTAATTTTAATAGGTCCATAGGACTATTGCATACCTAAAAAAATATTTTTACATTACTTACGTGTTTATTGTTACGCTTTGGGACTCTTATTAAACGCTAGTTAATACAGACCCGAGAAGCATAAACTAACCCAAGTTTATTATTTACTGTAGACTTTTATGATATCTCTTACAGCGTCTTTGGTGCCAAAAATAAGAGCAAACATTCCGAAAATGAAAACGAGGAGGTTTTTCCACAAAAGAAATCGTCCGGGTCCAAAACCAATGTCCCAAAACGTGGCGATCTCGATGATAGCGGGAGCGATGAGGCCGAGAAGGGAGAAGCAAAAGGCACCGATGACTCCCATGAAAGGTGCTATGGTGGGAACAGCCACGGCCAGCAGCACGCACACCGTTACCATAATGGTCCTCATGATGTAGTCCGCAAGGTCGGGACGCTTCGTATATTTGTCCTTGATGCTATGCCACATGATTTCGATGCATACAAAGAATTGAAGACCAAAAGTGCAGTATACTGCGACAGCGATGGAGATTTTGACGATTTGGGCCGGACTGAAACAATATAGTAATATTTATATAAACAGTTTAGGACACAGTATTAGACACAGACTCGCACGCAGCAGTGCCAGACAAAAAGGGTTTTGTTTATTATCTTTATTCGGACTTGATACTTACATTTGTGTTTGGTCTAGATTAAGAGTGATGGCATCTCCGACAGCGTCGCCGTAGCGCAGATATCCCAGGAAACCTAGGAGGATGTAGACCACGGTGACACCGGACATGCCCTTGTTGAGTACACCACAAACACCGAGTAATGCTTTGGGGGTTCGCATCGCGTTTTCTAGCGGCATCACCACTCCAATGGCTTCCATAGCAAAGATAGTAAGCGAGAAGAATTCTGGCCACTGACTCGGAGGAGTGAATAGGTTAACTTTGCCGAAATTCAATTCACCCGTGCCGACTAAATAGTAGAAAGTAATTCCTAGACCAACGGCCATTAAGAAATTAGCAAGCATAGACACTGGTGCCAGATATTTCAGGTTTCGGATCCAAACCATAAAAATAAGTGGTATAAGCAGTGCTATGATGAATATTCTTATTTCCATTTCTTCTTCTTTCACGCCCATATAGTAAGCTGCCACCTGTAAAAAACAAAGTAAAAATCAAATTGAATATGCCTATAGTTACGAGTAGAATAGCTTTAAGAATACTTTAATACGTCCTACTGTAAAGCACTGGTCGCACTAGTCTATTAAGTTGCAGCGCTCAAAATGGGTTGAAATTTAAATTATTTCGATAGTTTTTAGAATTTAAACAGTAAATTAAAGAACGTAGAGTATGTATTATTGTAGATATATGTATGATATGAGTGTGCCTACTTATTGTACGTACCTGTAATATATTGCTAGCCACGATGACGGTGTATACAGAGCAGGTACCGAAGTAGGTCATAAACAGGCTCACTAAGATAAAAATTCTGTGAAAAAGAGATAAAATGGATATTTATATTCGGGTTACTTATCACAATCTAGAAACATAGTTTACAGAATTTTGTATCTCCGAAAACCTTTATATTTTTTTATTGAATATATTTTGTTTCATTTGTCCGAAAACACGTTGCGGTTTTTTTTATTACACCATTTATTGTTTCACTATTTTGATTTATTAACAAGTTATTATTTTTCCGATTTTTATTACCCCAACAAACCGTTTGACCAATCTAGCTAATTGAATATTTTTATTTTGTAAAAAACGATACATTTTTGTTATATTATTTCTTATTACAGAAATTAAAAGTATTAGAAAATGTCGCACAATACAACTCGTCAAATTAAGGCACCTCGCATCTTTAGAAAATATGGTAAACGAGGTGCAAGTTAATTTGATCGAGTTGTAGTCGCTCGCTTTGCTCGTTCGAACCGTGCGGCTTTTTTATATACTAACCTAACCTAAACCCACAGGAGGGGGTCGTACCGTCTAAGTAATGCAAACAAATTCGGCTCTGGCACTCGCCGGTCGCATTTCTATGTTGCAAATTTATACCAACACTGTCATCGCACTAATAAAAAAAGTCGAACCGTTTTCGGAGTAATGAAATTAGGAAAAAAGAAATTCGAGTTTGTGATAGGTTACCTTATATTCGGTATCTACATATCGACGGCTTTTTTTTACGTATATTTTATTACGTACGTATGTTTATTCGGTGAGGTTGTCGATATTGATAAATTAATATTAACTTATTATAATATAACAAGATTTTCATAACTTTACAAGACTTTATTCAAATTAGGTACTGCTGATCAGAAACCTCCACCAAAAGCAGGATTTGAGATATAGATGTGTTATAGGTGTTCAAGGTAAGCGTGTTACAGTAACGCTGATACATAAAAGATTGCTGCTGTTTGTACCCAGAATTTATCTCTCACCTGTCACGACACCCAGTTAACAAATTTGATATCAAAATTCAAAATTACCTAAAAGGTCCAGCCCATTTTCTTGCCCAGGTCGGTCCATGATCTAAAGCTGCCTCACCAACTTCCGAGAAACTCATGTTCGTTTTTCTAGTCTTTCTATACAGCACGTGGGCGCATTTGATCTGAACACAAGAAAATAAATTATATTAACAAAGCTCTCATGAATTTCACCATATCAAGAAACCACGCCTGACGTCATGTCTATGAGTGACGTTACACCTTGATGTATAACCCAGGGTATTTCAATTAGTAGGTAGGTAGTAGTAGTAGGTAATACGCACGACGACTTTATTGACCATTCTAAGCAAATTCACGTACAAATATATATATATATATATGTGTATAATATATATGTAGTGAGTATATGCGTACAGTAGAACGGAATCGTGTAGATATTGGTACGTCAACGACCCGGGCGGCCGTGTCGTAATGTATAAAATAAAAAGTTACAAAGCAATATATATATATTCGCCTATATATCGAAGCCATTGAGGTAATCAATAATGATCTCCGTCATATTTCGACGTGGAGTAAACAATTTGGTCTTAAGCTGAACGCAACGAAAACGCAAATGATTATTATTGGCAGCTCTAGAATGGTATCCAAGATAGATTGGTTTCGCTTGCCGCAGGTTATTATAGACGACACCTACATTAAAATTAGTGACAATGTTAAAAATCTAGGTATACTTATTGATAGGCAGCTATCTTGGGCACCTTAGTTGAGACCAGCCGCAAATTGTTTGCGTCTGCCGCATCTCTCAGACGGTTACGTAATTTTTTACCTATTGCCACGAAAACTGCGCTTGCCCAAACTCTTCTTCTTCCAATTCTTGATTATGCTGATGCCTGATATCTGGATTTAACCGAAGAACAGCTCAACAAACTCGAACGTCTACAAAACTTTTGCATCCGTTTCATTTACGGTCTGAGGAAATTTGATCATGTTTCCATTTATCGCAATAAGCTGAAGTGGTTACCCATTAGACTTCGCCGGAATGCTCATATTCTTAATCTTCTCTATGGCATCTTATTCATTCCTCACACACCACCTTATCTTAAGGAGCGATTTGAATTCGCCCATCAATACAACCCCCGACTTCTGCGCTCTTCTTCAACTCTCCAACTTAAGATGCCATTGCATACCTCCCAGTATTACGACAAGTCCTTTACTGTTCAGGCTATTCGTTTGTGGAACGCTTTACCTTTGTCTATTCAACAAGCGAAATCATTGAATATATTCAAAAATATGGTAAAAGCACACTACCTTAATTTAGTGTGACCTGGACTGCTTAGGTATTTTTATGTTTTGAAATTAGGTTTTAGAAATTTTTATATTTATAAGTATGAGAATATATAGTAGTTTACGATATTCATATATATGTATTGGTTTTATTATTTATTTATAAATATATGTTATGAGCATGTACCGTTTGAATAAATAAAAAAAAGAATAAATAAAAAAAAATTAAAAAAAATGTATATTTGTATTTATTTATCAATTTTTATCTGTTGATTAAGTAATTCTTCATACACCACCGTCTTTTTCCTATGAATTATATAATTACTTCCAGCCAAAGGTTGTCTGGCAGAAATCGCTTAAAGCGATAAGACCGCCCATTGTACCACCGCTTATTTTTAATTTAATTGTATTGTATTTGTTTCCTTTTTTGGTGTACAATAAAGAATTTTTGTATTGTATATATATATAGGCGAATATTATCATTCCATACTTAGAGGATGGAAAAAAAATAAAGGAAAGGAGTGGCCCTATCTACGGAATAAACGTCCCTACCTCAACCAAAAATGTCCACCACAAATGGCGGATTTAGTGTTGTACCATAATCATAACTAAGTTAATATAGTAACTGCTTTTTATGTTTGCAAATTTGTATAGTTTACTGTAATCAGAGTATCATTAATACTAGGCTAATATTACTAGGCAAGTAATGAGCCCTTTTAATCAAAATTAAATATACAGTTATTTACCAATAAATGTAACGATGGAATTGCATTAGCATGTAGTCTAGTTACATTCAAACTTCTTTTAAAATTTGCCTTCAAAATGGAGCGAATACACGAAGATGGTATTTGATCCAATGTTTATGTTCGGCAGTCCTATAATTTCCAACCACTCTTTCTTTCTTTTTTCATTTGTAGGTAAACTTTAAAAATAATAATAATGAAATAATTAAAACCTCGTAGTCATTGACTTACAATTATATGGACGTCGGGTCCGCGCTAAAAAGTGTCCGCACTTGTAAGGCGCTAAAATCGTATACAGAGCGCGACACTCCGCTTTAGTCTTCATTTGTTCTACGGACAGAGCGATACTGCGATGACATAACAATTTAAATTTCGAATAGGTTGACTTGGGACATTTTTTTCGTGGTTTTTGTATTAGACCCGTCGTCCATTTATTTGTAAGTCAATGCTCGTAGTGAATTGTTTTAATAACAGAACATCGATAATACATCTGCTTTCTAGAACAACACTATCTCAAAATAATCGTCATCAACAATCATCAAAATATACTAACAAACAGGCAATCTAAAGTAACCAAAGCAAAATTCGGCAAGACATATAATTAAACTACTTAAATGAGTCTAATTACATGAGATATTTGGGCTATTGTATGATTTATAGGCAGAAAAATAACACATAATGTTAGTGTAATGTAACATTCGCTTGATTTCCGATTTAGATAAGAAGCGAATGTTACATTGCTATATACATTACTTTCTTATTAAAATTATGCTCAAGTTAAATAATTAGTACAGGACATTTTGTTGGCTAAGAGTTGTTGTTTTTGTGAACAAAATATTTCCTGTTTGATAGTTTTTCCGTTCATTTACTATTGAAATTATATGAGCGGCAACTTTAAATTACGATGTTTATACTTAGGTAACTACTATGGATACTATGGGGTAAAACCAAACTACAAAGTTTACAAGACGAGTACGAAACATGTATTTATTAATCCATCCTCTTCCAAAAAACGGACACTCCTAGTAGGTAACTAATGTTAAAGATCTTCGCCCCATAAGCATACTGCCATGTTTATCCAAAACACTGGAAAAGACTATTAGTAGACAGCTTGCAGATTATATGGAATGCCAATATATTTTACCAGATAAACAGTCTGGTTTTCAAAAAGGACGCAGTACCTGTACAGCTTTATTAGACGTCACGTCAAGTATCCTTGAATTTATTTTACTTTTATGTGCTGGGCTAAAACCAAAACCAAAACCAAAACGTAGTAATGCTCACATTACGATGTGGCGGCGGAAATAAGTGTGGTGGCAGTACTTCCCTGGACGAACTCTTTCACAAGGAGCTCTACAGCTACTAAAACGAAGAACTAGACACCGGACAAAGAACGATCTTGGTGATGTTCAATTATTCTCGAGTATCCGATTGTATAAATATTCAGCTACTAATGACCAAACTAGCATTTTATGGTGTTTTTGTGCATCAGCAATAAAGTAGTTTCATAGCTACATTAATAACCGTTCTCAGCGAGTTGATCTAAGTAATTTGGATGGTTCGATAAAGTCATCCAGTTTATGCTTGGTGGTTAGAGGCCTTCCTCAAGGGTACATTTTATCCCCTCTGCTCTACATTCTTTGCAGTGGTGATATAACAAGCTATATTAAACATTGTAGCTGTAGCTGTACATGTCCTTCGATGCCAATAATACTATATATATCTCAATAGTATACTCCAGTGGTCTTACAGAAATTGTCTTGTACATACTGAACCCCAGCAAATCTAAATACTTTATCATGGGCTCTCTCTCTCTCATGGGAATCATATTACCAAGATAGCGAACAAGCATCCCAACATTGTTAGGAAGTGAGAGCATAGAAATGACTCGAGCTGCAAAACATCTTGGAGGATTGATAGATGATACTCTGAGCTTTGAATCGCACGTACAGGATGTGATTTGAAACTGTTCTTTTTCAGGCTTATAATATTACATAAGATGCGTGAATTTCTGCAAGCGAGCAGCTCCGCATACGCCTTTCTGATTCCTTGGTGCTTTCTAGATTAAACTGTGCTGATGTAGTGTACGCGCCGCGACTTTTGGTAAGAACGAAAAGAATAGTATAGAGAGTGCAAAACGCTTACGCTCGATTTTACGCGAAATCATGTATCCCCGTTTCTTATGAGGCTAAAATGCTAAACATGTCGTTGCGAAGGTATTCCCATATGATTCTCATTTAGCCACGCTTCTATCTCTATCTCAATTTTGACAACTTTATACAGGATTAAGAAAAAATCATTTATGAAAATATTTAAAAACCACGTATTTTTATTTAATAAACCAAATGCTTTAAAAATGACGCAAACATTTTTTTCTTTACCTGTAAAGTTGTCAAAATTGAGATAGTAAATACCACACAGTTCACAATCGATTTGGCATGTTATTTTTCTAAATTAATTTTGTTATGTAAGTTGCACTTATTTAATTCGCGTCCACATTTTTTATTTTAATTTATTATTTTTTCAAATCTGCCACTTCGATAAACGTCCACTGAAAACCAACACCTAGGGGTCCGCCGCAGTATTTGCTGAGTTGGTCTCATTTCAGTGCAAATACATTTTTAAGCATAAATTCATAATATTGTACTCGTAACTGTATAAATTTACTGTTTGTCTTTCATCTATGAACATTTTGAATAATTTTTATAAAACCGGTTATTACGCCCTTTCTTCTCCGAAGTATCAAATCCTAATATTGTGTAGAAGTGTAACTAAATTATACTGATTATCTTATTAGATAACATATTCGGTAAATAGGTACCGGTATTTACCGAATCATTGGCTTAAAAAAATATTTCACGTTTGTACCATTACTTTATAAAAACTTGGCATGAAATCACTTTTCTGTATAGAATAGAATAGAAAAACATTGATTGCAATTGTATTTTATGTTGTTTTTTATTTTTCAAATCCTCATTATCTTTATGAAGTGTTCGTCACTATCGGCGAAAACACAACACAGTAAACAAGGTCATTTCATTCACGATATGATTTAAGACAATGACATGTCATGAAATAAATTACCATAACCAGTTCTTTCACGGGGATAATATGTTTGCTCATGCATATCACATAATGTTTTCTAGAAAAACATAGTTAGGTACTTCTATATGGATACTCTTTTTATGTACATAACATTACAGCAAATAGATAGTGGTTATACTCATTTTGCAGTATGAGGTAAGCACCTGTGCACGTATAATTAAAGAAAATCGTCGCCTTCCTTTCTCAAACTCATATCTTAAAGCACAAAGTTACTGAAACGTAAAAAATGGATTGTATATACAAATTTTGCAGGCTGATTTCACATCGCATTTCCTTCTATTTATAACCTGGCTTTAACCTTTTTTTAAAGTAGTGCATCCAAATTAACACTCTTGATAAGACATTTAAAAGAAATATAAACTTTTGCCATCTCCTGAATAATCACTCTTTATGAGACGAATTATGAAACACTAGTGCGCTGTTAAATATAGACCTCTCCCAGACTCAACACTGAGCCTAATCTTGCGGTATAGGCATCCAATTAACAAATTGTAGTGCCATAAATAAGAAAATCCTGTGAAATGTACTTACCAGGATGTAAGCGCAGTGGGTGCATACCACGGCCACGAGAACCGTAAAGAATATGCCTGAGATGAGACCTGCTGACTTGAAGGCTTTCGGCATGGCTAGTATACCAGTCCCCAATGAAGCCTTCAGTAAGTGCGTTAAGGTGTCGTTGTTTCTGTAATACAAATGATACCTATTGTTTTATTTTATTTTCATTTTATTTTATATTTCAATTATTTGCTGTCACTTTGTTAAATTGTAAATTTGGACGTTATGAAAATGACGCAAGGTATACGTTTTAATAAATAATTTTGACGCATATTTTTACTTGTGGTCACTGTACAGTAAGTAGGTTGCAAAAATACCCACACTGCCCATCATCAGATGATAATTATTAAAGTTTTCTGAGCATCTAGTGAATTTTATTAGATAGGTACTTATGTACCTACAATATGGAGTTTTGCAGCTTCACTGTACCGGCCTTGATTCTTAAAATGTTACGACCAACTAACTATATTATCGTAACGTGCATGTGTGACGAAAGTAAAAAACTTACTTCATACTGTTGAACAAAATGAACGTATCGTATAACAATGAGCAGGAACTACCTAATCAAATAGATATATATGTGGTAAAGGTATTTTCATTAATATTATCTGTAAATATTTATCTTTAAACGCAAGCTTTGAATACAAACATACAGTAAGAACCACACGCAATAAGCATCCATAACAAATTTTAGCAAACGTAATTGTGTATCTAAAGGTACAAGGTATGCCACTCGTATGTCAGCACGCGTTGTATCATAACAGCACGTGGCAAAATTAGATTTTATTTATATTTAATTAGGTCGCAGTGCTTACGTTTCGCTCAAAGATCGAATAAATTATTCGCTTTGCTATACAATGAAGCCGTTGTTCCGTTTCTTTCTGTTGGTAAAACACATTGAGCGAGTTCTAAAACTCAGTACAGATATATCTGCCATCCACTAACTAAAACACGCGTAAGGACATGTTGTCAAATATTCATTTTAAACGGAATAAGATAGAGCTCAATATTCTCAATTTAAAAACAGTTAAAGTGTCCGACATATCGGAACCTAAAAGTATCATTAAATAATTTCAATATTCTAAAACAGAGTTATGAATGATAACTCAAAAAAAATATTTTGTGACTAAACCGCGTTTTAGTTAGCGGAAGGAAGCGCCATTTGTCAAATCAATCTGGACCACAGATATATTAATATGTCTGTGATCTCGAAAATAGGAAAAAATCCCATTGGCCAGACCAGTCTGACCATCAATCTGCCCAACGGGAAACACTGAAATATTATTATACACTTATGAGCACTGGATCATTTGTGTATACGAAAATAATCTATAATTTAAAATGGTAGCGCCTACCACGCAAGCATTTATATATAGGTACTTTCCAATATCTGGAATAAACAATAGCTCCATTAATACCAAGTTCTTTAGTTCAAATACAGCTAGCTGGTTTTACTAATTACATTTGCACACATGATAAGCAATTATTATTAAAAACAATAAGTACGCCATTAACCACAAAACAATATCAATTCCAACTATGTGGTGTATGTATAATTTGTTGATAAGCTTATAAAATACTTACGAAGTTGGGTTGTCTAGTTTCCGCTCTGTAAACGGATCAAAATCTGCTGCTTCGACGTCTTTAGTCATGTTAAATCTGGCACAAAAAACACTTAACGTTAAAAAGTATCTTCTTGAATTTAAAGCAATTTGTTTTAATCTTTCGAGCGTCTTGAGCCTCGCCTCGGGTAATACAATAGGGCCGCCACGCCTTAATTAATAACTAGAGAGGGTAGCCTTAAATTTTAGAAAATATTCAATGATAGGAACGAGTGGATGCATGCTCACTGTAAGTGTTAATTAATTTAAATATGACTAAGCAAATTGTAGTAAACCTCTTAAAAATAAAGGTCAAAATAATGCATATTTTATCAATTTAATAACTAATTCCATAGATTGTAGGTATCGTAGTCATCAATTCTATTTATTTATTGTAATTTATGTCGTAATGATCTATATCTATAAATAAATTCTTTGAGAAAGGCCTGGAACACCTACCGATGTAGGTAGATCGAACGAGCCGCACCGATCTAAGTAATTACTTATATTGATCTGGTTATATATAGATATGCTGTAGCTTTGATAGTTACCAAACATAAATCGTTTACAAATTTTGCCTGAACGCTTAACTACCTAACTTGCTAGTAAATAAAGTGTGATACTACATAAGTAGCTAAATACCTACTTATCATTTGTTTTATGCCAATTTATAATTAATATTAATATCATGTACTTAGGTGTAATGCACTTACTTGGCAACAATTTTCTCCTTCTTTTCATCTTGGGGGAGGAAAGTCTCCAACTCCTGTGGCGGAGGTACGCCTCCATTCGAATCCTGAGATGGAGTGTAATGTTAATTTAGCAGTTCCGGTAAAGGTAGTGCTAACAAGTTAACTTGAGTATACTTTCTTCGCTTCCTGTATAAGTCTACCAGGGAAGTACCTGTGTTGACTAGTGGGAAATAATCTTTCTAATCTTTATGGTCCCTGGGCGCGATTTCTCCACTCACATCATTCGCCATGGTTTTTCTGGGCCCCGTTTCTAAGATATTGAAGCTACACTCCGGAGTGAGAACTTCAATATTTATAGGTAGTTTTAGACAAATTGTACGTGTCGATTTACTTGTCGATCTTGTCCTTCACAGTTTCTTTGGAATAATGTTAATTGATTGTAAATGGAAATGAATACTTACGTTGACCATTTTGATGATTTGAATGTAGAGAAATATATATCAATGCAGTGCAGATTTTCTGTAATAAAAGAGAAAACAACGATTAACGTTTGTTGAAACGAATACTAATCTAAGTTTTATCACTAATCAAGAAAAAGGTAAGAATAAAATTTTTGTTGAATTGATATTCAATCATTTTTTATGTGAAATTAGTCCACTTGTTTCCACACTTCACATACGGCCGGTTTCGAACCGACGTCTTCTAGCAAACCGTGTCAGCCGCTATACCAACTATGCCACGGAATGAACCAGACTCACGAATTTCTCTATGTGCTTGTTGTCGTATTTGGTTTTTCAACGACTTTAAGGTAAGTATTGCTTTGATGATCGAAAGTAAGAACGCATTACCTTATTTTCGATAATTTGCTTGAAAAGGTATCATGATTATAGAAGGCCGCGAATTCTAGGTCCAGGTCTTTTGAGTAGTGACAACCTTCTTTCTATTTGCACCCGATATAGTTAACGCCAGTTGATGTTTTTCTTACAAATAGGAAATTAACATTAACAAATTATACAATTTAGTAATTTTTTTTAAAGAATGGTCACGATGTTTAACCACCATATTCAATTATTTTTGTGAAATTACTCCACTACTTTTTTATAAATATTAATACAAAGATCAAACACTAAGAAAACAATTCATTCGATCCGGCTGGATTCGAAACAGCGTCTTCCAGCAAACCGTGCCAGACGCTATGCCAATTAAGCCACGCAACGAACTAGTGGACCTTACGATTTTTTCTATATGCTTGTTGCAGATCTCTATTTTTTATTTTTAACGACCGTAGCTCTATCTGTGAGAAATTAGATTAATTTGTGAGAAAATTACATAATTTTAATGAGTATATATTACGCTACATGCGAACCAATAGTGATAATGATGCGATCGGATGATACTACATTTAATTTATCTGCATAAATTTAGGATAAACATCAAAAGGCAGTGAGAAATCAAAAGACAAACGGTGGAACTTATCAGAGTTTTGTAAACCAAATGATAAAACTATTTAAGAATATGTCACACGTACGGTCTCCAAATTTACATCATCCAAATGTGATAATTTTCTAAATTTAAGCAAACAGCGATATTTTTATGTTGCGTAGTTTATATGTCAAATAGAATGGATAGCTGTATTCTTTTGACAATATTTTAGGTATATTATGTACTTTTATTTGCAACTACAAAGCAGTATAAAGAGTGAAATAAATTATTCATACTGTTTTAAAAATCAAGGATACATCTCCTGGCCTTATGCCTCATTTGAAATGATAAATTATTTAAATATGTGTCTGAACCGATCCATCACAAAAGCTTACCTAGATTTTTTGATGCAGTTTTATATTTCAAATTTCAATACATTGTACATTTGTAACATTTTCTTGAACATAGAGGACCTGTAGATGTAATCTACTGTACTATTTAAGTTTTAGGAATTTCGTGAAGTGGCGCGGCTATCATTTAAAGTCATGTGATAAACGGTGGCCGTCGCTGAACGCAGAAGATCACTACGAACAAAGTAAATTTTTGACTACCAATATTGCTTTTAACCAAAACTCGATCTTTGTTTGACACGCAATTACTTATTTACGGATGGATTCAGGAAAAAATACTTCTACTTAATAATGTAGTAATTTATTACGTGCGCTAGTAGGTAAGCTTAGGTACCATAGTTTTGAGTCACATTCAGTTTTGATGTAAGAATGAACCACATTGTAAACGACGGCCTATTCCACTGTGGGGACTACTTATAAGATATTAACCGATGTTTTGACTTAACACACGCAAACACAGTTGACACGAAGTTACCTATATTTATTTTTAGTAATATCAAATTAAATAATACTTATTACGAATTGTCTTTTCTAATACCTAGTTACTCAATTGTATGTATATCAACATTAATCATTATTACGTACGTATGACTTGGTTCTTAGATACCTATTAATTACTTTTTGTTCGAAGATCAATAGTAATGTATGCTTCCTGTACAGTTAAGAGCACATATCGCATTCGACACTGGACCGTTCTTATCGTAGTAGACCTGCAGTTTGATTTTGATTGCCTCTTCCGATCGGAAACTGCGTCTTTACCGAGTCGAGGCCGAATAATTGCCATTCACAACTGGCCGATCGGAAACTTTTGACATTTCTAATCGGAACAATAGTTGATTTAACTCACAAATTAGAAAGATATAGTAGGAATCAGGTTCATCTTCTCGCTCAGAAATCCGATTTGAATCAAAATCAACACGCTAGTGTAGATTTTAAATTATAAGTCCAAAGCTTGTTATATGCTCTTGACCCTGTACCAAATGCAATATGGATACAAAACAAATTAGCAAACGCGATAGGATATCAAAAGCATACACAATTAAATGACGGACACAGACAACTTTATGTTCCTTGAGATTCAAGAATGTTGCATATTTGCGAATTAATTATGACAGTTAAAAAACGCGTAAAAAGCTGTGTCATGACGATTTGGATGTTTACATTGATTAAAAATTATTCCGTCCATTTCGATCGCTCTCGCTCGACACCCGTGTAGCAATTTAGTTTTATTGTTCTTTGAAATATACACATGTAGGCAAATATAAGTAAATGTTGTTTATCACATCTTTCTATTAGATCAGTTAATATCATTGAATTACTATGGACGTCAAGTCCGCGCTAAAAAGTGTCCGAACTTAAAGGGCGTTAAAATCATATACATAGCGTCATTCACGCTCTAGCCTTCGTTTGTTCGACTGACAGCTAAGTAAGCAAAATTAGACAGTAGGTACTGCGATGACATTACAATTTAAATTCAACGTTTTAGCTTTTTCATATTCCTTGACATGTCACTACGTTTAAATAGGTTGACTTGGGACATTTTTTTCGTGGTTTTTGTATTAGACCCGTCGTCCATTTATTTGTAAGTCAATGGTTAATATGAACTATTGTCGTCAATAATGATGTATGTGTACATACAATTAAACATGTACCTACGCGAATAAACTTCATTTTCACAAATTATTTCACAGTGCCTACAAAATAGGCAAATAAATTTAATAAAACATACTATTGGAATTGGTTCGATAAAACATTCATGTTAAATCATTGACTTTTTGTAAGTCAATGTGTTAAATATTGTTAAGTGCGATTGGCATTATCGTTATTGACCGAAAGTACATGCCAGCAAAATTATTTTTTTTAATGGTAAAAATAAATTTGTATTGTAATTTCATTACTTGTATTTGAGATTTTTATCTGTGTAATTAAGATAGTGTGTATTTTTTGTAATATATTGTCTAGGTACCTATGTGAACTTATTAGGAGATTTTAGGATTAACTTCCTAAAAATAAATCCGAAGTTACGCACTAAAATAAAATAATATTTGGACTGTAATTCTAATTTCAAAAGTTTCTCCACATCTTCAACCGTTAGCGTTTTTTAGTAAAACATTCATGTGGTAGCCATTGCAGAATCTGCGGCATTGTGACAATTTGTCTTTACTTTTAAGATATTTCATAAAATGTTTGAAATAATTGTATGGCGTGATGGCAAGTTGTAAAATATTCTTTATAATTAAGATATTTTAGTCTTCAACAAATTTGTAGGGTGGAGAGTCCAGGATAAAATAACGTGAAACCTGACACAACATTGTTATCTCATAACTTAATACGATGGAAGAGTCGAAGACTTGTCTCAAGTTTTATCATCTTTGTTTTGGATAGAACTGAACCTTGTGTGACCATTATTATTGAGCGCTTTTCCAAATGGGGTCGTCTTGCCGTGATTAATTTTTTTTCACTGATTCAAGTATTTTAGTAGGTAGATTGAAGATAGACAGAAGATTATAAAACAGTAAAAATTGTGTTTTAATTTTCTTTCTTGAACATATAAAAACCGTCGCAATTGGTCTAGAGTTTATGAATTGACATCGCTTGTACTTGTAACTTCTCTAAAATATTTACACTTCGTATGTTTATAATTCTGTTTTAATATTAACGCACCGTTCGCGCATTGATTTTTATGAAGGCTCGGATAATAGTTAAGTAATATTAACAGAACATACCTCGACGTCCTCTCGACCTAATAGAACAAGCACGACTGATCTGTCAAAGTCATCTTGAAGATCTCATCCATGTTCCATACTCATTTTATGTACGTATTTGTTATTTATACATAATGGATGACACTAATCACTATCTTTCCATAAGACCTTTGCACTTCACTACTGTTTGCTTAGAATAGTATTATAATGTAAATTTACAATGAAACCAATCTCTTTTAATGGCTCCAGATTAGCATTTCATTGAGTACTTTGTCAATAGCACTAGAAGTGCCTTAAATTATTTGGTTGAGATAACTATTAATATTTTATGTACATGAAGAAGTTTGATAAATGAACTTAACGAATGGTGAAATAGAATTACGGAAAGAATGTTACTAATTTAGCATGACTATTAAATCTTGCTGCTTTACCGTTTTAAAAAAGTTTTTGCATGCGCGACATAATTTGAAATGTTTACTATCCAGCCGATAATTGAATAATTGTTACTTTTTATTTAAAAAACCGACCTCATAAGTTCGTGGTAATGCATCTATTTGCCAAGTTTTATTGAAATCAGTTACCGGAAAGTGCGCGAAACTGAATTTGTCCCCTTGTTTGCCACCCTTCGAGGTGGAATATTTTCTTCAAATTTAAATGGGACCAATATTGAGGCACTCTCTTTTTAACAAAAAAGAAATGTCGGAGTAATCGCGTAATACACTTACAAAAAAAAGAAAACTACAGTCGAATTGAAAACCTCCTCCTTTTTTTAAGTCGGATAAAGAAGATTATAATTTCACCTCGGTGAACCGTAATGTTTTGTTATTCAAAACTCGTAGTCGAGATCAATGGCGCCGATAGTAGGCCATTAAAAGAGCGCAACTCAAGCACTAAAACACGTGGCGCTTCAGTACCTATCAAACATTTAGATCTCAACTAAGGAAACGGTGTCAAAAAACACAAATTTATTCAAAGCAACATA